CATTGAATGTTTGCCACTGTGCTTAATTTTGCTGTAAGCAGCCCTGAGTCCTCCTGGGGAGATAGGGCGGGCTATAAATAAAGCCATTATTATTATTATTATTATTATTATTATTATTATTATTATTATTATTATTTGAAGGAGGGCAGGTTAGTGGGTGGTTCCTGGAGCATGCTAGCCTAGACTACAACTCCCAGCAATCCTCCAGGTAGGTAGGTAGATTGATCAGGAGGACTGCTGGGAGTTGCAGTCAAAGAATAGATAGAGAAGGAAGAACGGGGAGAAAGGGGAAGGGGAAAAAAGGGAGGGAAGGAAGAAAAGAGGGAAGGAAGGAAGGAGAGAGAAAAAAGAGGAGAGAAAGAGGAAGGTTGGCCACAGCAAGACGTGGTGGGTCCAGCTAGTAATCAAATAAACAAATAAATAAATGACATCATTAGATATTGCAAAGGAAGCATGTTACAAAGGAACTATTTTAGAAACCGAAAACCTGCTTCTCTTTCTCATGTTTTTGTTAAGCTTTGTGTTAGATAAATTCAAGAACCCCAATAGATAGGCAATTACTAGGAAAATACATCTATGCAAAAGATTTTTCATACCATTGCTTTGCAAGAGTAATTTTAATTTTTTGTAATTTGCAGTGGTGCTTTGTAAACCTAGACAGGTTTTGTGAAGATAGGCTGCTAACCTCATTCAGAGTCCCACCTCCTTGGAATCAGTGAGATTTATCACTGAGTGTATAGGATCACACTGTACATTTTATTTAATCTTATAACCTCATAATAATAAGCAGTAAAAAGTTGTAATGAGCCAATAATTTTCTCTGTTGCCCTTAATATCTGCTGTGCTCAGCATGTAATATGCAATATATCATTTAGAAACATTAGACTATCCCTCTTTCAACAAGACCGAAATGAGGCCATTAAGTACGAGTTTCCAGCATAAAGGTTTTTACTGTAAGAACCTTTGACTCATGGAAGTGAATGCAGAGTGCCAACTGTGTATTGTGACTTCCTTGGTGCCGTTTGCACAGTTCTGCACTCTTTCATGTCTTTGCCAGTTCCTACTTTAGGAGGGAAATGATAACAACAACAACAACAACAACAACAACAACAACAACAGCAACAGCAACTTTATTTTTATACCCCGCTACCATCTCCCCAAAGGGACTCGGGACGGCTTACAGATGTGGGACAAATGTCCTTAAATACATAAAAACAAAACAATCCATAAAATAAAACACATTAAAATAGGAGCATCATAAAATACAACAACCAAGATAAAAATACACTAAACATAACAGATTGCATTGGAGCTCCCATCAGATCACATTCAACATAAACCAATAACCAGATTTCTAAGATGGACCTGGCCAAGTTATAAAGGGCTGAGCAGGGATAGTGCAAATAGCAAAATATAGGGGTGAGGCAGTGGGTGAAATGCAAAACAGAGTACTATGTGATCTAAGGACTGGGAATATATGGCTAGGGACCACTCGTTCTCAAAAGCTAGGTGGAACCTCCAGATTTTCAAATCTCTCTGGAAGGAGGACAGTGTGGGGGCTTGCCTAATTTCCCTGGGAAGGGCGTTCCAAAGACAAGGGGCAACCACCAAGCAGGTCCTCTCCCTCGAGAGAAAAAAACAAGAGGGAGGCTATAATCTTTGGTTCAAGTATAACAATAAGCCATTATCTAAATAGGCCAGAAATAGTGACTTTTAACTGAGGTTTGCAGCTGGCCTACAAACCATGGTTTGTTTATGGAGCAGGTTCAACATTAGAAAAAAAACAGAATTCAACAAATCATAAAGACACCATTTAATGTAAACCTGGCTTCCACGTCAAGGGAAACGTCTTCATAGTGGAATTCCAACTCCTCTTTCTTTTTTCTTACTTCACATACCAGGGATGTGTTCCTTTCTCCATATTTTTTCTTTAGCTGACAACAATTAATCTGTTTCTTCAACTAAGGGATAATAGTTGAATTATTTCTGAGAAGTGCTTCTCAGAGTATTCTTTGAAAAAAAAGATAACAGATTAACAGTCTATTCAGATGCAAACTATCATCAGCATCAATGTGGATGGTGACTTGGGAGGACCTAAGATTGTGATTCTGAGTTTAGCGCAATGATGTATTTGTACTCTATTCTTTTCTCTTCTCAACTCAGCCACTATCAGGAGGATTTCAGATCTTCGTATCGTCAGTTCTTATTACAGCCTGTATCAGGAGAATGAATTATCCTAGACTTTAATTTGCCTATTACAGGTTTCTCTTTTCATTATACATTCTTACTGATAGCACCAAACGGAACAGCAGAAATTGGCACTTCATTCATCCATTGTCATGATAAAGACTCAAGATGAAAACAGCCAAACATAAATCAAGTCTCTGGAAGCCACTCTGAAGATTTCAAAATGAACAGAAAACACAGCACTTGTTACTCTTTAGAGTGAAGATAGTAAAAGAACGGAAAGTTAAAGGGACTTTTCGAAGGCTTCTGTACTACTTTGGCTTGAACCATGAATAAATTAGAATTCGTTCTGTAAAACCTTTCTTGTTTTCTGACCTCAAGTTCTGCATGGGCTGGAATAATGAAATGCAAAGGAGAATGGTGCTCCTGTATCTTTAGCAACTGAATGCCCGCATGATGTAGTGACTTGAGCACTGGACAATGGAGATTATTAAGAGAGCTGAGGCACATTTTAGTGGTTTGTTAAGAATGAATGGAAATGCTGCTTTCTACACGAGATCATCTCAAACTAATTTCATACTAATTTCTCAGTCTTTGGCCATACCTTGCAATGCATGAGAGAATTGTGTCAATAGCCTCCTGAAGGTCCTTTGTTATAATCTTAACTGTGGTACGAAAAGTCACTACAACTGCTGCAATGAGATTGGGAGGATCCACGTATTGTTGTGTGTATGGCATGGTCACAGGGGCGGCTCAACCCATTACGCAAAGTAAGCATTTGCAGTATAGTTGATTTTGCCCAGGGGCGCTCTTGAGGCACTCCTGGGGGAAAATAGACCTTGACATATGCGAGTTGTAGTTACTGGGATGTATACTTCAACCACAATCAAAGAGCATTCTGAACTCCACCAATGATGGAATTGAACCAAATATGACATGGATGTTCAGCTGTGCTTTTAATTAGGCAATTCCCTGGACAGCAGACCCCAGTTAGGACCCAAAAATCTTGTCCTCAAGTACTTTACAATTGCTATCCCCCAATCCATGATGGTAAATTGCTCTTATCCTCATCGCTGCTATATGATATTTCACTTTACCCATTAGCTCTATCATTTAATGTTGTGGCACCAGTCCGCCCACCCTTGTCGAGACATTGAACTTTGCTTCTGGTTGATTTGTTTGATTTTGTTTTATATACTGTTTAATGTTGTTGTTTATTTCATTATATTGTTTTTGTTATCATCTTGTTGATATGCATTTTAAGGTATTATGTTTTAACAGTTCTGTTGGGCTTGGCTCCATGTAATCTGCCGCAAGTCCATTCGGGGAGATGGAGGCGTGGCATAAAATTATTATATATTATTCTCAGGTAAAACCGAGATGGGCCCCAGGATATGGGCCTGTCTGGAAGGGCCCTAAATGACCTTTTCTAGGGACTGAATGAGCTGCATTCCATATGTACAGCGTATGCTGTACATAACACGAAACTAGTCTATCAGAAGTTACTTCAAGCAGCACGTTTGGGGTATTATGAAAGGAGAGTAGACCTTGCTATTGTACTTCTTACTGTCAGGTATGTGGAGAGGCACTTGTGTGATATTTTCTGCTTTGTGCCAAGGCACCTTGGCTGGCTTAGAGTGACATGAAGAGGAGAACATTTGCTGCTCCCTCCCAGAGGGCAAGGTGGCTGAGTAGCAACCTCTCCACACATTCTGGTATGTTAGACTAGTCACTTTGGTGAGGAATATGTCATCTTCTGCAATTCCTTCACCTATAGGCTGCTAAAGGGACAGAGAAACTTTCCTCCTTTAAATCTGAACATCATAATGGAATGATTTACATGCACATTGCCTATGTCATATGTATCAGATAATGTGTCAGGAGAGCACAGAAGGGAGATGGTTAATATTGAGTGGCCCTGAAGAAGAAGAATCAACATAAATTCTTCTGACTTCTGCAAAAATCAAATACTCGTTTTCTTATGTAACTACAAATATCAGTGTTTTCTATCTTGAAAACATGAACCACCACCCAGAAAAACATAACCACAGGTAAGTCCTACCGAAAGACATCAAGTAGAATGTAGTGGTAACAAGTCCTGTTTAATTCAACCAGAGCTTACTCATGATTGAGGTTTGTGAAATTGTACCCCAAACGTGGAAATGTTACAGTAGAGCAGAGCATGGTATATTCTGTTCCCATGAGCTAAATGTTTCTGTGATGTGATCTGGAGAGCACTTTTTGGAAGAGGTTAACCTATTGCATACTTCAAAAGTGAAAATGGGACCTATGTAGCCAAGCCCATCACTTTCCTAATCTCAGTAGACTTACTTCTGTTTGTGGAAACCGATTTCAAACCACAGAAGTATTTTGCACTCATTTATCTCAGGAGAGAGAAAGAAGAGAAAAAGGAGTAGAAACATGGCTCTCCTAGTAGATTACACGGTCCCTGTGTGTCTCGTAAACTAGAGAATATAGAGGCACTATGAATACCAAGTAGTTGACAAATGTTTTGATATTCCTCACTGCTGCTTATTGGCTGCTTTTACATTTGTATTGTTCTGTAGTAATGTTTTGCATTTAATTCATAAACTGCCTTGGAAATAATATTACATAAATGAAATAAAATTGATTTGAATAAAAATAGCTTCCAAGGCTTACAGATAATAAATGTCTTTGCTTTTAAAGTCTGAAATGAGAGCTTTTCTCCACTGAAGAAATGGATAAAATGATTTCAGAAATACAAGCACTGAAAATAAAATAAGAATTTAAAGAATTTAATTTTGATGGATTTCTGTTTGTTTTCTTTCCAGCCTTTGGAGGGCCAGATCTGGGACCTGTTACGTGAGGCAGACAAAACTGCAGCAGAAAACAAAGGTCAAGAACAGGTGTATGATGCCATGGCGGAGACATTGGGAGATGCTTGGGATTCGCTTATTATTGTCCTGGAGAAGCGTAGGTCGCTTTTGAAGCTTGCTGCAGATTTTTTTGAAAATGCTCTAGAGGTTTGTATAAAACTTCTAAACATTCCTTATTCCTTAAGAAAAAAAGATGTAAATATATTCCTTCAGGGCCAACCTTATTGTTAGGCAGACTTAAAGCAGTTGCTTCAGCTAACTGACTCTGAAAGCCATGAAATGGTGGAATATTCTGCCTCGGGGGCCAAAATACTTTCAGTATAATGCATCATGAGACTTGGCATCATGGCCTGGAAAATGAGATAAATTTGGAGGAAATTTGATGGACCAACTTAGGGCCTTTCCACACAGCTATATAACCCAGAATATCAAGGCAGAAAAACCCACAATATCTGCTTTGAACTGAGTTATCTAACTCCACACTGCCATAGATTCCAGTTCAAAGCAAATAATGTGGGATTTTATTCAACTATGTGGAAGAGGCCTCAGGGAGATGTAAAGTGACCTCAAAATCTGTTGCTTTAATTTCTATGGCATTCTTAGAATTCCACAAACTTTCCTATGCTGTCCCAGCTCTGTATTGCCTTCAAAGACATTATTTATTTATCAGAAGGCATCACAAGCTGAGAAATGTATAGATACTCATCATTCAATTGCCACTTTTGGAATGTGTGGTAAAGATTAGATGTTGAGTATTCCTTTTCCAAAATGCTTGGAACTAGAAGTCTTTTGGGTTTTTGGAAAACCTGTATACCTACATAATGAGATTTCTTGGAGGCGGAACCCATGTCTAAATACAACATTCATTTATGTTTCATATACAGTACATCTTACACATAGCCCGAAAGTAATATTACTAATAATGTTGTGCATGAAACAAATTTTGTGTATTACGAACCATCAGAAAACAATGGTGCCGCTATTTCAGCTATGCATATAGACGGTTTTGGATATCAAGGTATTTTGGATTTTGGAGTTCTGGATAAGGACTGCTCAAATTATATTTTCTTAGGCAAATGGGAATTCCTTCTCCACTTCTGCCAACCATTAGCATTATTCCAGTGTCTGAGGAGATACATGAATTGCTGTTTTATGGACTATATGGACAATGACAATATTTATGTTCCTCAGAAGCTCATAATATTTGCAGTAACTGCAATTCTGGAGGAGCTGAACTCTCTCCAAGAAGGATAATTGTCACACAAAAGGGACTGGAAGACAGTTTATTTGACTGTAAGACAACAGAAGTGGGACCAAGAATCAGGACGTATGATGTCCTGAAATATCTCAGCAAAGGACAAATGGGAAATGTCATATTGACTTAAAATGGAAATAGCTGGAAATTTCTTATTAAAATGTTTTTCTTTAAATGACAGAAAGTGATTACACATAATCTTTGTTTTATTATGATAAAGTGTGAGCCTCATCTCAAGGATATTCTTTAATGAAAATCAGAGGTCAAAGCCCACATGTTGAAAGATAATGGATTTGTTTTATATTATAAAGATCAGAAAAACAGGATGGAACATGTGAAGAAATGCAGGCAGAGCAAAAGACTTATTTTTTTATCATCCTTCTTAATTTAATCTGAACTTTCAACATCTTGAACTTTCTTCCTTTTTTTCTTCCTTTCTTTCTTCATTGTCATTAATTAGAGAAAGGGCAAAGCAACACAGGTTGACATAAAATGTTACAATTAATAAAGGAAGAACATTGTTGTAATTTTGGATCTTGGAGACAACAGAAAACGTGTGTGTGTGTATTGAAGTCACTTGGTGATCCCATGAATTTTCCTGGGCAAGGATTTTCTTGGGCAAGGAATACTCAGAGATTTGCCAGTTTCTTCCTCTGAAACTTAGCTAACAAAATCTGTTGTTTATTGGTGGTCTCCCATCCAAACACTAACCAATAGTGACTCTGCTTAGTTTCAAAGATCGGAAAAGATCTGGTGCCTTTAAGGCATTAAGTCCTTGTAAATATTACTAGTTAAACAAATTCAAAAAGACAGCTCCCGGTGGCGCAGTAGGTAAAACCCCTGTTCCGGCAGGACTGAAGGCTGACAGGTTGCCAGGTTCGAATCTGGGGAGAATGCGGATGAGCTCCCTCTATCAGCTCCAGCTCCTCATGCGGGGACATGTGAGAAGCCTCCCACAAGGATGGTAAAATATCAAAACATCCGGGCATCCCCTGGGCAACGTCCTTGCAGACGGCCAATTCTCTCACAACAGAAGCGACTTAGAGTTTCTCAAGTCGCTCCTGACCCAACCCCCCCAAAAAAGTTTGTTTTAGTATACCTTCATTACATCAAATATTTTATAAGGGAGGAGAAACCTGTCTGTTAATGAAAAACACAAAATGAACCCAACAGGCCCGTAGCCAGGATTTTGTTTCCCGGGGGGGGGGGGGGGGGGGGGGGGCTGAGTCTGAGTGAAAGAGGGTATGCCCTAGCAAACCTTTTGTATCGTTACCCCAATACCCCCATGCATATGGGATATATTGCTGGCTATGGTTTTTATTGTGTTACTGATGTTAATTGTAATGAATTTTTACCTGTGTTAAAGGTTTTTAATGTTTAAATTACTTTTGTACTGTTGTGGGCATCGAATTGTGCCGTTTTGTAAACCGCCATGAGTCGCCCTCGGGCTGAGAATGGCGGTATAGAAGCATAGTAAATAAATATTGTATTGAATCAGACACATCAGACACTTCCCAAGTGTCTAGGACTGTATTATTATTATTATTATTATTATTATTATTATTATTATTATTATTATCATTATTCTGTGGTTTTCCTTTCACTGACCCTTTGTTTTTCAACAGTTTGCTATCAAGATCGACCAAGTTGAAGATTTCCTGCAGAATTCCCAAGAGTTTGAGAACCCCGAGTCCCTGAGAGCTCTTCTGAAACAGCATGAACACCATACAAAAGGTACAGAGAGGGTTTTCTTCATTTACCATATTTTCCAGCATATAAGATGACTGGGCGTATAAGATGACCCCCAACTTTTCCAGTTAAAATATAGAGTTTGGGATATACTTGCCGTATAAGATTACTCCCCCTTCCAATGCGCACCAAAATAAAAAAAATTAAAACATCAGATTTGATTTCAATATGGTAAGTTTCCAATTAACATGCTTCCATCTCTGCCTCTCAAATCTTGCACATGCACACGTGCGCTGCTTCACTGCAGTCCTCAGGAGTGTGATCTGAGAGGCAGTGAAGGAGGTATGGTAATAGGATAAAAGGACAGGCTAGACAGGTGAAATAGCATGTTTTTCTGGGCACCGTGCTGCTCTCTTTTTTCCATAACCTGGGCGTCCTGGAGACCCGCAGCTTGCTCCACCCTTCACTTACACCTTCCCGGTGAGGTACCCCCTCACCTCGTCACCAGGACCATGTCAAGTCATTTCTTTCCACAAATCCTGGTGAGTGGATTTTTTCTACCGTACTTGTACAGTGCCGTCCTTGCTGCTTTCATACAGTCATCGCATACGGTGGGGATGTGGCTGCGGATGCTTTTGAGCTGCCCCCACCATATGCGGTGACCTGGATGCTCCAGTCCAGCTTGGAAGTTTCAGCACCTGCCCTATAAGATGACACCCAGCATATCAGACGACCCCCAACTTTTGAGAAGATTTTCCTGGGTTAAAAAGTAGTCTTATGTGCCAAAAAACCCCCAGTATTTGAACACATTTAGCATGCGGTACTTAGATGTAAATATTGTTTTAAAATCTTTTCAAGAATGAAGAACTATTACATCATTTTCTTGTTCACTGTTTTGAACTTTTAAGAACTGAAATTAACATGTAGCTATCCCTGTCTTTCTTTATATTTTCCATTCCTCCCCCCACAAAAATGCTTTGTTTTTCTTTTTTAGCACCCCCTTTTCTCCTGGTGTGGCATCCTTACCCTATTCTTCCAAATTGTAGGAATTTTTAAAGAAAGTTTCACTGTAAGAATGATAGAAAACAAGGTACAGATCCTAACTCAAAGCTCATCGTTTTATAGGGCTGTGAACTATAGGCATCACAAGGAAAAGAGATAGCAGTGTCAAAGGTAGCAGTGTCAAAGGTTTCAACTAACTCATTGTTGCAGGACTTAGTGCAACTCCTGAGTGGTTGGTAGACCTGCATTAGTATATCTGAAACACATTGTAGACTGAATGCAGTGTGACCCTGCTTTAACTGTCTGAAATTGTGGGTTATCGTTTTACCTGGCCTTTTCTGCCAGACAGTCGTGGTGCCTCAGCAAACTGCAAATCCTTGGATCCCACAGCATTGAACCATGGCAGTCAAAGTGGTGTCAAATTGCATTAATTCTAATGTATAGATCTAGCGTCTTTGATAGGCGATTTATTTATTTATTTACTATATTTATACCCTGCCCTTCTCACCCCAAAAGGGACTCAAAACGGCTTGCAAGTAGGTAACAATCCAATCCAATTGAAATACTGTACCCGGTATTTCTATCTGTTACAGAGGCTATTACAAGTGAAAAGTGAGGGTAGTAATAAAATATTCAATTTCCTTCTAATTTCTCCATTTTCTTTTCATGTTGCTTTCTGAAATAAAAGATGAACTGCATATATAAATCTGCAAGGGTACTGAACAATGCATGCAAAGCAGCTACACCACAGAGTCAGCAGGGCTAGAGGTGCAGTGCATTGTGCAAGACCCACTCCCCCCACTTTATACTTTTAGTTTTGCCCTTTACTTCTGCTTCCCTTTTCCTGCTCACTCCCCCTATTCATTTGCTTGAATAATTTGGGGCATTTGTTCTATAGATAGGAAAACCTCTTCTGGCTGAGGAATACTGGAATGAACATTCCTGCAAAATAATTTTTCTAAACTCTGGTCTGTATTTGTATTATGTGAGGGGCTGGTTTATAGGGAATGCAGGTGTAGGAAGAAGGATGTACTGGTTTCACACTTTCTCTGTGATTATATTGTCATGACTACAATAGTAAAAAAAGAATAGGAAATGTAGCATGCTTTCAGGCTTTTTTTCTTTTCCCTTCAAATAAAATACCCCACCCCTACCCACAACCTCTGTGGCAGCCTTAATAGAACAAATCATATTTCTTTAAGGTTTGATTTCACTTTGCTCCAGTAATATGTTAAATAACTATTTCCTCCATGACAGGCCTATAGCCAGGATTTTGATTCGGGGGGGCTGAGTTTGGTTCGGGGGGGCTGAGTCTGAGTGAAAGAGGGTCTACCCTAGCAAACCTTTTGTATCGTTACCCCAATACCCCCATGCATATGGGATATATTGAGTATGGTGATCAGATCATGATATTAATAAACATATGGAGCCCCCAGTGGCTCAGTGGGTTAAAGCACTGAGCTGCTGAGCTTGTTGATCGAAAGGTCGCAGGTTCGATTCCGGGGAGCGGCGTGAGCTTCCTCTGTCAGCCCTAGCTTCTGCCAACCTAGCAGTTCGAAAACATGCAAATGTGAGTAGATCAATAGGTACCGCTCCGGCGGGAAGGTAACGGCGCTCCATGCAGTCATGCCGGCCACATGACCTTGGAGGTGTCTATGGACAACGCTGGCTCTTCGGCTTAGAAATGGAGATGAGCACCACACCCCAGAGTCAGACATGACTGGACTTAATGTCAGGGGACTACCTTTACCTTTACCTAACAGTTTAAATAATGCACCAGTAAGGCCTTCTCGCGGACCACCATGAGAAGCCCCTCAATCCCCTCTCCCCCCAGCTACATGCCAGCACCATGACATCAAGAATCCTGATTAATGAACTCACATTTAGAACACCTGTAATGCCTGGAGGGAACATGAAAAATATTGAAATAACCATGATTACCGATCTCCTAGGGTACATAGGGAGAAACAAATTTACAACTTTTCATGGATGTTACAGTGGGCCACTGTCCATGAAAGTTTATGCGGATAGTATTGTCTAGTCCTAAACGTAGCATAAAGCGCTTGGTTGTTTTTACCTCACTATATTAACGTGGCTACTGCTGAGGGATGAGGTCTCAAGTGTTAAATGCTAATTATTTATATCCGAGCTGGCATGAATGCAAGGAAGTCCTGTATTTGGGAACTCTCTGCTCTCATTGCTTCTGTAGACTCAAGCAGCCCTTCTCCTGAAACAAATTGGTAATAATGTGATGTGGTGGACTTGATTTGCTAGAGCAGTGGTGTCCAATCTTTGGTCACTTACTATTCATGTGGGGTTATTGGCATAGGAAATATCATGTTCTGTGCAGGAAACAGCATTTTCCCCATGGAAAATTTCAATTCAGAAACATTCATGCACAGAAAATGTTGTTTTCTGCATACAAAAATTGTATTTGTGGAAGATTCACACATGATTATTTGCATAGAAAACCACATTTTCTGCATTGAAAATAGTATTTCAATGTAGACATATTAATTCTTGCACAGAAAATGTTATTTTCTGACCCAAAAAGTTGTAATTAGGGATTTCTTCTATGTAAACTTACACCTGGTTGATTTGCATAGAAAACAGCAGTTTCTATGCAGGAATTCATATTTTTGCATGGAAATGTTATTTTGCACAGAAAATGCTGCTTTCTGCATTAAAAAAAACCCTCATGTGAACTTTGTGTGGAATAAGTTAGGATTCGCAAATAGCCTTAGAAACTGCATGTTTTTCAAAGAATTTCTCACAGTAGGAAGAAACTTGCTGAAATTATTCAAAACTAGCTTTGAGAAGGAACACCAACATTTCCATCCCTAGAAGAAATGCATACTGGATTCATGCTATAAAGGTTTCCCCACAACATTAAGTCTAGTAGAGTCCAATTCTGGGGGGTGGTGTTCATCTCCATTTCTAGGCTGAAGAGCCGTCATTGCCTTCTAGGTCATGTGGCTGGCATGACTGCATGGAGAGCCATTATCTTCCTGCTGAAGCAGTACCTATTGATCTACTCATATTTGCATGTTTTTGAACTGCTATGTTGGCTGAAGCTGGGACTAACAACAGGAGCCAACCTGTCCCGCTGACTTTCTGGTCAGCAAGTTCTGCAGTGTACTGATTTAACCTGCTACATCACTGTGACCCATTTGGATTCATGCCAAATGTATATTTAAAAGTATGTACATGAGCAAAAATTCATATGAAAATGTGTACAGATTTCAATGCAGGAGGTTATTCCCTCCCCCCCCCACCCCACCACCACCATTTCAGTTAATGTTGTTCATTCGTTCAGTTGCTTCCAACTCTTCGTGACCTCATGGACCAGCCCACGCCAGAGCTCCTGTCGGCCGTCACCACCCCCAGCTCCTTCAAGGTCAGTCCAGTCACTTCAAGGATGCCATCCATCCATCTTGCCTTGGTCGGCCCCTCTTCCTTTTACCTTCCACTTTCCCCAGCATAATTGTCTTCTCTAGGCTTTGCTGTCTCCTCATGATGTGGCCAAAGTACTTCAACTTTGTCTCTAGTATCCTTCCCTCCAATGAGCAGTCAGGCTTTATTTCCTGGAGGATGGACTGGTTGGATCTTCTCGCAGTCCAAGGCACTCTCAGAACTTTCCTCCAACACCACAGTTCAAAAGCATCTATCTTCCTTCGCTCAGCCTTCCCTAAGGTCCAGCTCTCACATCCGTAGGTTACTACAGGGAATACCATGGCTTTGAATATGCAGATCTTTGTTGCCAGTGTGATGTCTCTACTCTTTACTATTTTATCGAGATTGGACATTGCTCTCCTCCCAAGAAGTAAGCGTCTTCTGATTTCCTGGCCACAGTCTGCATCTGCAGTAATCTTTGCACCTAGAAATACAAAGTCTGTCACAGCCTCCACATTTCCTCCCTATATTCCAGTTGTCAATCATTCTTGTTGCCATAATCTTGGTTTTTTTGATGTTTAGCTGCAACCCAGCTTTTGCGCTTTCTTCTTTCACCTTGATTAGAAGGCTCCTCAGCTCCGCCTCGCTTT